TGGGCCACCGGACGGCTGAGGCCAAGGGGGCAGGATGTGGATGCGGTCATGGATGCCATGGTATTAGAGCAATTTATGCAGCGCCTCCCAGATACCACTAAGGTCTGGGTGAGGAGACACCAGCCAGAGGCGATGGAGGCAGCGGAAAAGTTGGCCGAGGAGTGTGTCCAGGCAGATTTCCCAAGGAAAGCGGCTTGTCGGGATAGGGGGGAAAAGGTGAGATTCCCTCAGTAGTAAGACCTGCGGATGCAAGCAGGGAGAAAATAAGGTCACTTTCATCAGCCAGGATACAGCCAGCTGCCTGTGCGGGGGAAGAGGCCCCATTCCGTGGGGTGCCAGCCTGTGGAACGTGCACTGCTGGAATACTGCTGGACTGGGGTGACGGGAAGCTCTCCGAAGGAGTAAAAGCAATCCCTGTAAAGGAGGGGGCGTTGAAGACCAGAGGTGGGGGTTAGTGATTCAGTAGCCGGGGGGTGCTTGTTTGTGCAGAGCAGGCTGGTGTGGTTTTGGGAGGGGACGCTCTAGGCATAACGTGCAAACACAGGGAGAAAAGACACGTCTCCAGTGGCAGTAGCGCATTGGCGGGACGGGGGGGGGGGAGTTTCCGATGGAAAAGCGTCGGGTAGTGGGAACTTTGCCCCACCCTGAGGTCTTAGGAGCTGACTGGACTCCACTCCCTTCAAGTGGGCGAGGGAGGTCCAGCAAACGGAACCTCATTGGAGGGTAGAAAAGAGGAGGGCTGGGGTCGAGTGTGGTGCCCAGAGCCCAGTCGGGGGAGATGAGTAATCCCTGGACAAGAAATGACAAAACAAGGAAGTGGGGCCCATGTAGGACATGTGGGGCAGAAGAGACGCTGGAAAAGGGGGTGAAGAAGCAAGGGGTTCCTGTACAAGGACATCCCAGAGTCAGTGGCAAACCCCCCATGCCCAGTGAGCGGGCCCAGAGGAGACAGAGCTGCCCAAGGGCTTAACGCCTAAGGGGGCACAGAATCCACCAGACTACGAGGAGCAGGCCGGGGAGGACAGCCGAGCATGCCCTACCAGGGATGGGATAGACACCGGGCTAAAGTCTGTGGGGTGTCCCTGGGGTGGTGGCCTGTGGGCGGAAATGGAGCTACCCCCACCGAAGGAACACTGCTTCTGGGGATGGACAGTGGGAAACCCTCCCGGATGGAAAGTCAAATGAAGGGAACTCCAGGGGCGGAGGAGGATTGCTGCCCCCATAAGCCAGGCCAGGGAGAAAACTGAGCCCCAGTGGAAGAGGGGGGCCCTATGCGAGCTGGGAAGCCTGACGGGGGATAGTGCTGAGGAGCAAGCGATATGAACGGCTGAGCCAGGAGCAGGAAGGGGGCCATGTTGTGATGCACCGGGAGGATAAACAGCAGTAACGACACGTGGGGCAGGTACCGGCTGCTGGATTCACTGAGGGCCGCCCGGCCAGGGTTTCCAGGAGCTGACAGGGGCCCCCGTTCCCAGGGGGTGAACATGTGGGGAAAGGAGCCTGTGGGCATGTGGACAAGCGTGTGTGCACACGCCACGGGGGGAGTGTGTCTGTAGAACGTGTGTGTCCCTGGATTTCCTTTCCTCTGGACAGCTCGGCGGACAGGGCAGCAGTTTTCCCGAGTCAGCCCACAACAATTATGTATCTTTCCACGGCCTCCTGCCCACCCACCCACCCACCCACGCACTTGTGCAATCACACACCATCCTCCCAGACAGGCGCTGTCTTCCACTCCCTCCTTGGACCAGCCTGTGCCCTGGGAGGGGGCAGTCCCGCAGCCCTTGCCGGCCCCACTGCCTGGGAGGGAAATGCCCTTAGTCTGCAGTAAGTGTAGGGCAAAGCCCCCTTGGGGAGGAGCTCTGAGCCCCCTGGATGCAGGCAGCTGTTTACTCTTGTAAAGAGGGGATTCCCTAGGGGAGCACTCCAAAGAGCATCTCTTCGTGGGGGAGTTTTCGTCCCTCCCCGTCCTGGACACTCGCGGCTGCCTGTCTTGGAGACGGCCAGGAAGGCTCCGACGTGAGACCCAGCCCTTCACACAGATTTCCACCCCAGCATTTGCTGGCTGACTTGGAATGAGTCCGCACTGTCGCCATAACAACCCGCAAATCACACAGACACAGCACAGCATGCATTCCACTCCTGAAATCCACTTCATGGCGCCCGCCCGGGCCCCACCGCTTGCTCGGCGAGGGGGGTGGCTTTCATCGTGTCCCAGGAACGGTGCCTCTCCTTTCTCGCTAAGTCGGTGGCAAATGGCGTTTGTTCCGTGCAGATCTTTGGTCCCCCTTTTGTGCCTTTCGAGTGCCTGGCTCCAGGGGCCTCGTCTCCAGGGCAGGGATGAAGCTGTGTCCTCGGCTGACCTGGCAGGAGTCTTGAACAGGAGCATCCTCCCTCTAACCACGAGCCCTCTAACCGCCTTGCTAACAGTGAGAGCAAGAGCCGCAGAGAGAAGCAGCGTCGGTCTGAAGCCAGGCGGAGAAAGGCTCTTGGAGGCTTGGGACAGCGGAGCTGGAGAGATCGAGCTGCCCCTGGCCCGGGGGTAAGAGGCCACGCCGGGCCAGGCAGTACAGTGAGCTCTGACCTTCAGCACCGCCGGCTGCGGAGCCAAAGGAGGCAGCTGCTCCCACAAAGGGCAGGGAGGGGAACACGGTGCTCCTTGGCCTCCCAGGGCACCGAGGACCTGGGCCCATAAACCCCTGCCACCCCCTGCCTGAGTAGGGATTGCTTCTTGTTGGGGGTGGGGGTGGGGGCGGTTTCCCTACCAAGAACGTATCTGTTTGCGCTCTGCGGAGACCTCCCCTGTCGCTGGGGGGCGGGGTACAGAAGGGTTGAGCTGGTTCACTGCATGCCCCGGTGTGCATCGACATGGAGAGCCGCTGCCCCCTTCCCCACGGTGACCCCAATAAAGCCACAGGCCCTGCTGGTTCTTTTACAAACCTTTATTTCCATTTCTCCCCCCCCCCCAGCCCGCTCCGCGCTCCTGTCACAGCTTTTTTTAGATAAAAACAACAAACCAGCTCTCTCCAACAATTCCGGACACACACGGATCCCCGGACGACTCTCCAGTCCCCCCGCCCCATTTCAACCCAGCTTCCCTCGGAGCCGCAGCTGCGAGGGGCTTTCCGCTCCCGGATCGTTAATGGCTGACTCGAAAGGCAGAGAGGCCCAGCTGGCTCGAACGCACCTGCCAGGACAACACCACAAACGTCACCTCACTGAGCTGATCTGCCGAAAAGCTATCATGAAAAATAGTGGGATGGATCCCAGCACGTACACAAAATATCCCCGCCCCCCTCCCCCCTCTCCAAAAAACAGATATGTTGCACACATTAAAGTGATACCGAACGATACAGAACTCAGGAGGGGGGAAGGATGAAAGAGTCTCTTTGCAATAACAACCTACAGGATCCAGTGAAACCGAGGCAGCGTCAAAGTAAAGGGTCAATAGAGATACAGCTTTCAAACCCAAGGGCAGGGAGTCCAAGGTAATAAGTTAATCTATACAGACAGCGTTAGGCGAATGGACAGATGAGCGGATTTCCCTCTGCTGCAGAAGGGTGTTCTCAGCGCGAGTGCCCATGCAGAGTGCCCAGGGACAGCGGCCCATGCCAGCACAACAAAACCGTAAGGAAATGAGACGTGAAGTCAAGGGATAGGGAACGTCCGTGAGACAGGCTCCGCGCCTGGCCACAGGAGCACAATCACCACCTAGAGCAGTTACAGCAAAAGGGGTGAATTGGGAGGCCTTGTCCAGGCACCCTGGGGTGTGCCTCAGGAATTGCCCTGACGCTCTATGGGAGCTGGTGCTCAGGGGCCGGGGGTGGGGCAAGGTGCCAAGCTGGGAAATGGCTTGAGTTGGCTCCAATGCCGTGGCATAGGGGCCTGCCACCCGGCCCTTCCACAGCAGCGGCATCCCCACTGGGAACAGGCTGCAGGGGGTTCCAAACAGCTCCCCACGGGGTCCCCCCCTCTCCACCGTTAGTAGAACAGCCCCAGAGGGAACTTCCTCGGCATCTGGCTCAGAGCAAGGCTCCTTGCACCGAGCATGGTCTGGCAAGGACCAGACAGAAACCCTGTCCGTGGTAGGAGAAGAGTCCTGGTAGCTCCCTCACACCTGCCCTGGGCTCTACAGAGTGCCTGGGCTCGGGAACAGGGAAACACTGACACTCCCTGCCTCTTAGGTGTCAGCCTTGGGCCTTGTCTACCTGCCAAATTTACCCTAATTGACAGCGCAGAGCTGCAGCAGCGCAAACCCTTCACATGGGGGCAGCGCGTGTAGAACTGATGAATGACATTGTTTTTAATTGTTCACTTTATTAATGCAACTTCATACGTAAAGTTTTATGAATGAAACAACATTCATTCATAAAACCGGTTACCCCAATAACTCGCTAATTGACAATTAAGATGCTTGTTAAGAGCCACAGCGTTCAGCCAGTTGCCCTTGTAAGTTTCACTGTCAATCCAATTCCTGCTTAAATCACTGAGACTTGCACTGTTTCAGTATTGGAACTTCTGTTCACTGTTTGCCATCCACTACACTTGTCTACTTCTGTTC